CGAGGAACCAGCCCTTCCTTCCACAACAGACCCCTCGCCGGGCCCGGTCCACTCGACTCCAAGGGCCCCCGAGACCGAACCAATCGCCACCCCGGAACCTCGCCGCTCGACTCGCCCCAGGAAGCCACCAGCGCACCTGAAGGACTTCGTCTGTGGGTGCATTGCGAACCAAGGGGGGAGGGGTGTAATGTATTCAGCCTGACATGCCCGGACTTGCCCGGGCTGGCCAGGCACAATTCCTATGTTAGCTTCAGTCGAAAGACAAAGGATCCGGAGGATCTTAGCCGGCCCAATCAAAAGGGCTAGCTTTCTAGCCGGGAGACCAATGGTCGCCCGGTTACTGTAAATAGCCTATCGGGAGTAGGGGGTGTGTTTAGGTATGCTTGGTGGCGGGTTTTCTGAACATATATAAACCGGCCTGCGAGCCGGTCAGTTGTCTTTGTCCTGAACTAAATAAAGGTATGCTTAGCTGAAATCACTCTCCGTCTGCATACTTTTCAGTGCGCCTCGGCGTTTAGTCATGCCGGCCACATGACCACAGAAATGTCTTCAGACAGCACTGGCTCTTGGAAATGGAGAAGAGCACTGCCTCCTAGGGTCAGATTTGACTAGCTTTCAAGCAAGAGAAACTTTTACCATCCATCCACACACACACATATATTTGTGTGTTGTTTTTTTTAATATATATATTTATTGGATTTTTTACACAATAGACAAAACATACATACAAACAAAGCAACAAAGCAATTTTTCTTTGATACATTGCATTGATTTTACAATTTGATTGTTCTTATATATATTACCTATTTTCTTTGCCCTTTTGTTAACCAATTATAATCATTACCCGACACAAAATCTTTCTCAACTACCTTTTACTTGTCTTCTCTGTTCAATCACTATTTATTCTTCATTTTAAATTTATAGTAACTTTATATACTCCTGAAATTCATCTATCAACTCTCATCTGTTAATTAGTTCTGTTCCAGCAAGTCATGACTTCTACCAATACTCCTACACTATCCCTTTACCTTTTTCATTTTTTTTCTTTTCCCCTCATTGTGTGTTACAAAATAGTCAAAATACACAACTCACTAAGTACAATGGTCTACATAGCTGTTTAACTACAACCCACAGTTAGTCATAAAGCACAGCAAGCAGGCTTACA